TTCTGGCTATAAAGCTACTTCACATCCCCTGTGGAGTAAGACAGGGCATAAATGCATAGACAAATAACAATAGAGCTTTGTCTCTTCTTTCTACTTTCTTAAGTGAACAGATGACAGTGAGTTTTATGATCTGTATAACATGAACTGTTTTTCAGATTCCTGGGTTGTAACTTACGAATACTTCCAGTACACAACACAGTAAATGCTATTAATCTTATGTGCACTATAGCGAAGGTGAGTCATCTGGGGAAAATGACACATACACACATACATTTTAAGGTTTTTAACTTCAAAATGCCACCCTTTTGAGCAAGACTGGCAAATACCTTGCTTCTGTTCCCCTCAGGGAATTGTTGTTCAGCATGGGAAAAACTTCTTTTTCCCAAGCCTGAACTAAGCCTTTCAAGTCTTCTCAATTTACTTTCAGTAGCCAGTACCATTTAATAAGACTCATCCGGTGCCAAAGAGCATTTGGCTGGCCCTATTGTTTACATATCTTCTTTCAAATTCTAAAGTACAAGGCTTGGTCAGATTGCAGTCACGATTTGTCAGAGTGCAAACATCCTATCTTATGGAAAGTTCTTCACCAGTTGTCCACTTTCTTTTCATGCTCTTTATCATCTGCAAAGTGTGCCCAGACACCTTCAGCCCCCTAGGCAGACTTAGGTTTTCCTTACCTTTATACTTGGAACATATCCATTAAAGCAGTGTTTATAGTGTTCTGCTTTTTGGCTTGCATGTCTGAAATTCCTTGGATAGAAACCAAGTATTTTCCTGTTGATTAGTAACTCATATATAGTATTTAGCACAAAGGTGATCAAGAGATTTGCTGAAAGAATGAAAGCTAGGTATTTTTAAATGTGACCTTGTAATAATACCTTATTTCTATAAATAATGCTGCATCTTTGTCTTCTTCCAGACTACTTCCAAACCATACATAGATAGCATCTGCTACAGAATGATAACAGCTAAAGCTTACATCATTGAGCAAAGTCCTGTTTGGAAAACACTTCAGAAGATAAAGCTGAGTAGTGATTCAGTTAACCCAAACTAGAATACCAACCTAATGTTCTTCTCAAAGAATTAGACCTGTGAAATTATAATTTTCAAATATCTATATTAAAGAGATTTATATTAATTTAAAATAATAACTTATACAATTAAAAGTGATTTTAGGAGTTTTGCTTTTTTTTTTTTTTTTTTTTTTTAATATACTTTAAGTTCTGGGGCACAGGTGTAGGATGTGCAGGTTTGTTACATAGGTATACACGTGCCATGGTGGTTTGCTGCATCCATCACCCCATCATCTACATTGAGTATTTCTCCTAATGCTATTCCACCCGTATACCCCTACACCCCAACAGGTCCTGTTGCGTGATGTTCCCCTCCCTGTGTCCGTGTGTTCTCATTGCTCAACACCCACTTATGAGTGAGTGGTGTTTGGTTTTCTGTTCTTGTGTCAGTTTGCTGAGAATGATGGCTTCCAGCTTTATCCATATCCCTGAAAAGGACATGAACTTGTCCTTTTTTATGGCTGCATACTATTCCATGGTGTATATGTGCCACATTTTCTTTATCCAGTCTATCATTGATAGGCATTTGGGTTGGTTCCAAGTCTTTGCTATTGTGAAGGGTGCCACAGTAAACATATGTGTGCATGTTTGTCTAATAACAGAATGATTTATAATCCTTTGGGTATATACCCAGCAATAGGATTGCTGGATCAAATGGTATTTCTATGTCTAGATCCTTGAGGAATCAACACACTGTCTTCGTCAATGGTTGAACTAATTTACACTCCCACCAACAGTGTAAAAGCATTCCTATTTTTCCACATCCTCTCCAGGATCTGTTGTCTCCTGATTTTTTAATGATTGCCATTCTTACTGGTGTATCTCAGTGTGGCTTTGATTTGCATTTCTCTAATGACAAGTGATGATGAGCTTTTTTTCATGTTCGTTGGCTGCATAAACGTCTTCTTTTAAGAAGTGTCTGTTCATATCCTTCACCCACTGTTTGATGGGGTTGTTTTTTCTTGTAAATTTGTTTAAGTTCTTTGTAGATTCTGGATATTAGCCCTTTGTCAGATAGGTAGATTGCAAAAAGTTTTTTCCCAATCTGCTGGATGCCTGATGAGTCTGATGATAGTTTATTTTGCTGTGCAGAAGCTCTTTACTATACTTAGACCCCATTTGTCAATTTCGGCTTTGTTGCCATTGCTTTTGGTGTGTTAGTCATGAAGTACTTGCCCATGCCTATGTCCTTATGGTATTGTCTAAGTTTTCTTCTAGGGTTTTTATGGTATTAGGTCTTATGTTTAAATCTTTAATCCATCTGGAGTTAATTTTTGTATAAGATGTAAGGAAGGGATCCAGTTTCAGCTTTCTGCCTATGGCTAGCCAGTTTTCCCAACACCATTTATTAAACAGGGAATCCTTTCCCCATGGCTTGTTTTTGTCAGGTTTATTGAAGATCAGATGATTATAGATGTGTAGCATTATTTCTGAGGCCTTTGTTCTGTTCCGTTGGTCTATATCTCTGTTTTGGTATTAGCATCAAGCTGTTTTGGTGACTGTAGCCTTGTAGTATAGTCTGAAGTCAGGTAGCATGATGCCTTCAGGTTTTTTTGTTTGAGTTTTTTTTTTTTTTTTTTTTTTTTGCTTGGTTAAGTGGGCTCCTTTTTGGTTCCATATGAAGTTTAAGATGGGTTTTTCCAATTCTGTGAAGAAAGTCAATGGTAGCTTGATGGGGATAGCATTGACTCTATAAATTACTTTGGGAAGTATAGATTTGTGTATGTTGAACCAGCCTTGCATCCTGGGGAATGAAGCTGACTTGATTATGATGGATAAGCTTTTTGATATGCTGTTGTATTCAGTCTGCCAGTATTTTATTGAGGATTTTCACATCAATGTTCATCATGAATATTGGCTTGAAATTTTCTTTTTTAGTTGTGTCTCTGCCAGGTTTTGGTATCAGGATGATGGTCTCATAAAATGAGTTAGGGAGGAGTCCCTCTTTTTCTATTGTTTATAATAGTTTCTGAAGGAATGGTACCAACTCCTCTTTGTAACTCTGGTAGAATTTGGCTGTGAACCCATCTGGTCCTGGACTTTTTTTGGTTGGTAGACTGTTAATTGCTGTCTCAATTTCAGACCTTGTTATTGGTCTATTTAGGGATTTGACTTCTTTCTGCTTTAGTCTTAAAAGGGTGTAAGTGTTCAGGAATTTATCCATGTCTTCTAGATTTACTGGTTTATTTGCATAGAGGTGTTTATAGTATTCTCTGATGGTAGTTTGTATTTCTGTGGGATTGGTGATATCTGCTTTATCATTTTTTATTGCATCTATTTGATTCTTGTTTTTTTCTTTATTAGTCCGGCTAGTGGTCTATTTTGTTGATCTTTTCAAAAAACCAGCTCCTGGATGCATTTTTTTTTTTTGAAGGGTTTTTCTTTGTCCCTGTCTCCTTCAGTTCTGCTCTGATCTTAGTTATTTCTTGTCTTCTACTAGCTTTTGAATTTGTTCTTGCTCCTCTAGTTTTTAATTGTGATGTTGGGGCGTTGATTTTAGATCTTTCCTCACTTCTCTTGTGGGCACTTAGTGTTATAAATTTCCATCTACACACTGCTTTAAATGTGTCCAAGAGATTCTGGTTCGTTGTGTCTTCGTTCTCACTGGTTTCAAATAACATCTTTATTTCTGCCTTCATTATTTATCCAGTAGTCATTCAGGAGCAGCTTGTCCAATTTCCATGTAGTTGTGTGGTTTTGAGCGAGTTTCCTAATCCTGAGTTCTAATTTTATTGCACTGTGGCCTGAGAGACTGCTGGTTATGACTTTTGTTCTTTTGCATTTGCTGAGGAATGTTTTCCTTCCAATTATATGGTCAATTTTAGTATAAATGCAATGTGGTACTGAGAATCTATATTCTGTTGATTTGGAGTGGAGAGTTCTGTAGATGTCTATTAGGTTCACTTGGTCCAGAACTGAGTTCGAGTCCTGAATATCTTTGTTAATTTTCTGTCTTGTTAATCTAATATTGGCAGTGGGGTGTTAAAGTCTCCCACTCTTAATGTGTGGGAGTCTAAGTCTCTTTGTGTCATTAAGAACTTGCTTTATAAATCTGGGTGCTCCTGTATTGGCTACATATGTATTTAGGTTAGCTCTTGTTGCATAGATCCCTTTACCATTATATAATGCCCTTGTATCTTTTGATCTTTGTTGGTTTAGTCTGTTTTATCAGAGACTAGGATTGCAACCCCCCATCTTTTTTTTTTTTTCCTCATTTGCTTGTTAAATCTTCCTCTATCCCTTTATTTTGAGCTTACGTGTCTTTGGACATGAGATGGGTCTCCTGAATACAGCACACCAATGGGTCTTGACTATTTATCGAATTTGCCAGTCTAACACTGTTTAGCAAAGGATTGGTACATATATATATATATATAAAATAAAACTAAGGTGTAGCTTCTTACTGAGTTGGACACATCTTTAGTAGGAAATTAAAATAGAGAACTTTCTAATCAGCTTCTTAAAGTCATACATATTTTTTAGGTTTTTCCATAAGGTAGCAAGTATTTCTAAAATTCATCTTTGTAAATGTTTTCCTATTATAACTTCTGCTGGAGAGGTGGTGATGGGACTGTGCTCCCAAAGACTCCACCTGAGCCGGAAAAGAGAGTAAAGCTAAGAAGTCAACTGGACTGAATTCTAAACTTCTTTCCACTCATTTACACTGGTGTGATATCCAGGTTGACACTAAGAGTTCCAAATTGTTACACAGGATATAAATGCAGCAGAAAAGTATCAGTATTTTTATAAGCTTGTTAAAACTGTAGTAATGAATATAGACGATTCAACTACATTTTATGAAGGTATAAAGTTAGTTTGTATTGGATTTTCAAAAGTAGTATTTAGGACATATGTGGGTATTATTTACCATTAGATAACTTTAAAACCAAAAAATACTATTATTCTATAATGTATCATTATAGAAACTGATAAATGAGAAAAACATTTATTTTTTGAGCAGATTTTTACAGAAAAAAATTTTAAATGGTATTAAATCATAATGGAAAATTATATTTTATTACTTTTTAATTAGGAAATGGAACTTTCACTTTATCTCAATATTTTCTTCAGAGGTAGACTTTGTTTTCATTTCAATGAGTTCTTCCACTCGAGCTAGAACACTTTCAATCAAATCAAATGTGAAAAGAGCTGAATGTAGGACCTGCAAAGCCAAGAAAAAGTGTTATTAATGCTGCCTTCAAAAGAAAACATAGAAAATATTACAGCTGGAAGTAGCTTAGGAAAGCTAGGTGCAGTGATTCACACCTGTAATTCCTGTGCTTTGGGAGGCCAAGGTGAGAGGATTACTAGAGGCCAGGAGTTTGAGATCAGCCTGAGCAACGTAGTGAGACCCTATCTCTACTAAAAATTAGCCAGGTGGCCAGGCACGGTGGCTCACGCCCGTCATCGCAGCACTTTGGGAGGCCAAGGTGGACGGATCACAAGGTCAAGAAATCGAGACCATCCTGGCCAACATGGCGAAACCCCGTTTCTACTAAAAATACAAAAATTAGTCAGGTGTGGTCACATGTGTCTGTAGTCCCAGCTACTCAGGAGGCCGAGACACCCAGGAGGCAGAGGCTGCAGTGAGCCGAGACTGCGCCACTGCGCTCCAGCCTGGCAACAGAGCAAGACTTGGCCTCAAAAAAAGAAAAAACCAAACCAAACCAAACCAGGCATGGTGGTGTGCACCTGCAGTCCTGCCTAATTGAGAGTCTGAAGTGGGGGAATCACTTGAGCCCAGGGAATTGAGGCTGCAGTGAGCCACAGTCATGCCACTGCACTCCAGCTTGGGCAAGACAGCAAGATCCTGTCTCTAAAGAATAAAAAGGAAAGAAAAGAAAATTTCAGATCACCTTAAGCTGCATTTCAGGAGGCATATTAGGGATCTCTTCTCCACCTACAGTTATAGAACAAAGATCTTTAGATTTCTGGGCCTCTGTAAGAGGAAAAAAAAAAAAAAATCATGTGTCACACTTATAACAACTCTCAGATTTCAGTAACAAATTATAAGCTATTTTCATCATTCACTAACTTAAAATGTGACAGTTATTTTGTATAAATTATTCAGTCCATTGTTTAACAGTTCACGGTATACTGAGGCTGTAAGCAAATAGAATGAAATATCAAAATTCTGCAACATGTGAATTAATGCCTCTTTAGATAAATAGTATTATTTTCATGTATAGGATTCATGAAACTATGTTCTTCAGTATATAATCAGGATTATACTAACAGAATTATACTAAAAGAATTTCTGGCAATGCCTATAAAAGCACCACCACAGATATATGGAAGAGATCACATGATTATTACGGAATTGTTGACTTAAATAATTCTGGATCTAAGATTCTTTTCATAATTTGTATGGATTTACTTGAGAGTGAGATGGAGAGTGGACCCAGCAATACCAAAGGAATGGTACCCAAACAGAAATAGTTGTAATACAGATTCTTAATCAGAACTTGAAGCTTTAAAGTGGAATATGCTTCAATTTGGTTGGTCATCAATAACCCAATTTTAGGTAAATTAGCTTACAGATTTGCTAAGAATTTTAACTATAAATAAAATGGCTTAGCTTTTATGATCTCCAACCAAATAAAAGATTTTTAAAAAGTTTTAAATTTGGATGACAGTTCCAAAATTAGACTACTTTTTAGACCTAACTGAAAAGAAAATTGTACATTACCAACCTTGGCTATTTTTAATTTCCACTTCATAATGTGCTTTTGACATATTAAGTCCTATATGTAGTGGCTTTAAGAAATTATTTTCAATATTTCCAAGTTCTGTCCATAATCCAGTCTGTTAAGAATAAAAGAATGAGTTATTTAGTTAACACTGGTTGATTGCCTACTACTACTACTAAATGTGTTAAAAGCTGGAAAAACAAAAATGAATGAAACATGGCACATGCTTTTCACAATGGACTTTACTATTAATACATTTATTACCACATTTAGGTTATCTGAATACCAATTAAAAGAAAAACGTACTTGGGGCACTACGCTTATTACTGCACCATTTGGATAGCTCTTGGTTTTTAGATCTGTTAACTTGTTAAGTTTTATTTATGAGAAAATCATTTGAGGATAAATTCACAGTCAGACATCTCTTCCTCTATAAGCCATCCCCACAATGACTCTACCTTATTTATGCCTTCATCCCAGGCATGACCTTTCAATTGACATCCTTGCCATGGATCTAGTTCTAGAGGATGCTTTCCTTTTCCTATACCCAGCTAATTTGAATCTCCTTGGTGATCAATGTAGATGAAGATTTTATCTGTTAAGGACAGCTTAGGGTTATTTTTGTCATGTATGCTAGAGGTTTTTATTCCAAGAGCATTTTCTCTTATAGTACTAAAGGCGAGAAATCATGAAATCTTAACTTTATTTTTAAAAATAGAGAAAAGAAAATCCATTGGTACTAAGTTTCCAGGTGCTCTTTAAAAAGGAAAATATTTTAGGTTAAAAAGGGAAACTTAGGGACCCAAGTATCCTTAACTAGAATAATGAACTACTTGATAACCTATTCTGTAATGGGCTTCTTTTGATCCAAGTAGTATATATTGTGTTACTTTTATCCCTCCAGATACAGTCTACACATATCTATGTTGAATAATTGATGATGATAATGTCTCACACATACCCTTTTCATTTCAGTCGTCTTTTCTTATTTCTCCTATACTAAGTAGGAAAAATAAAATTCTCGGGAGGGTCTAAAACCTTAAAAAATATGCAAACCTTTTTACTTGAACTTATCTTGGGGAAATAAAGATGTATGTTATAATGATTCTATTGCAGATGTTTTTAAAATAAAGATGTATGTTATAATGATTCTACTGCAGATGTTTTTAAAATGTCTAAGTGAAACAGAATTAAAATAATTGACAACAGGAGATTCATAGTAAATTATGACACATTAATGTAATGGAAAAACTATACAGCTATTAAAATACTGTTTTTCAGTACATATTGATGAATGGGGAAAAAAGGTTACAAAACGGTGTGATTCTTTTCGTATGATCTCATTTTTTTTTTTTTTTTTAAAGAAAAGTACAGATATATTAGCACAGAAGCTAGAAGGGAATATAGTGTATCAACAATGGTGTAATTTTAATTATTATTATTTTTTTCCCTCTTTATCCTGATTTTGAAATAATAGATGTTTTAGCTATATAACTTTAATATGGAAAGTTTTCTTAACCTCTCATGGTAAATTTGGGTTATATGCAGCAGGAATTTCCTTAACCAGTGTAGTCACACAGAATAACAAGCATATTACTCTTTTGTGCACTGATGGCTCTTATTTCTATTTCACCTCTCTCTATCCAGCCTTTTTTTTTTTTAACTGATACATGACATTTTGCCTATTTATGGGGTACATGTATTTGTTACATGCATAAAATGTATAATAATCAAGTCAGAGTTTTTAGGGTATCCATCACCTTGAGTACTCATCATTTCTATGGGTTGGTAACATTTCATATCCTCTCTTCTAGCTACATTGAAATATACAATATATTGCTGCTAATTATAGTTACTCTGTGCTATCAAGCAATACAGCTTGTCTTTTATTTAACTCTATGTTTGTGCCCATTTACCAGCTTCTCTATATTTCCCCCTCCCATGCTCACAGGCCTCCGGTATCAGTCATTCTGTGTTCTGTCTCCATGAGATCAAGTTTGTCAGCTCACACCTGTAAGTGGCAATATGTGATACTGTCTTTCTGGGCCTGGCATATTTCAACATAATGACATATAGGTCCATCCCATCTATTTCGGTGTAAATAACAGGCTTTTATTCCTTTTTTAATATCCAGCCTTTTCTTTACCATTCTCTATTTCCTGCTCCCCAACTTTTTTATTTTTTACTTTTTTATTTTTATTTTTCTCCTGCCCACAGGAGAAAGCGGGAAAGATCTAAAATTGACACCCTAACGTAACAAAAGAACTAGAGAAGCAAGCGCAAACAAATTCAAAAGCTAGCAGAAGACAAGAAATAGTTAACTAAGATCAGAGCAGAACTCAAGGAGATTGAGACACAAAAAAACCCTTCAAAAAAATAAATCAATGAATCCTGGAGCTGCTTTTTGAAAAGATTAACACAATAGACTGCTAGCCAGAGTAATAAAGAAGAAAACAGAGAAGAATCAAATAGACACAATAAAAAATAACAGGGATATCACCACTGATCCCACAGAAACACAAACCACAATCAGAGAATACTATAAACACCTCTACGCAGATAAACTAAAAAAATCTAGAAGAAATGGGTAAATTCCTGGATACATACACCCTCCCAAGACTAAACCAAGAAGTCAAATTCCTGTGACTAATAGCAAGTTCTGAAATTGAGGTAGTAAATAATAGCCTACTAACCAAAAAAAGCCCAGGACCAGACGGATTCACAGCCAAATTCTACCAGAGGTACAAAGAGGAGCTAGTACCATTCCTTGTGAAACAACTCCAAATAATAGAAAAGAGGTACTCCTCCCTAACTCATTTTATGAAGCCAGCATCATCCTGATACCAAAACCTGGCAGAGACACAACTAAAGAAGAAAATTTCAGGCCAATATCCCTAATGAACATCAATGTGAAAATCCTCAATAAAATCCTGGCAAACTGAATCCAGCAGCACATCAAAAAGCTTATCTATCACGATCAAGTTGGCTTCATCCTTGGGATGCAAGGCTGGTTAAACATAAGGAAATCAATAAACATAATCGACCACATAAACAGAACCAATGACAAAAACCACATAATTATCTCAACAGATGCAGAAAAGGCTTTTCATAAAATTCAGCAGTCCTTCATGCTAAAAACTCTCAATAAACTAGTTGTTAATGGTACATGGAACGTATCTCAAAATAATAAGAGCGATTTATGACAAACCTACTGCCAATATCTCACTAAATAGGCAAAAATGAAGCATTCCCTTTGAAAACCAGCACAAGACAATGATGCCCTCCCTCACACTGCTCCTATTCAACATAGTATTGGAAGTTCTGGCCAGGGCAATCAGGCAAGAAAAAGAAATAAAGAGTATTCAAATAGGAAGAGAGGAATTCAAATTGTCTCTATTTGCAGATGACATGACTGTATATTTAGAAAACCCCATCACCTCAGTCCAAAATCTCCTTAAGCCGATAAGCAACTTCAGCAAAGTCTCAGGATACAAAATCAATGGGCAAAAATCACAAGCATTCCTATACACCGATAATAGACAAACAGCCAAATCATGAGTGAACTCCCATTCACAATTGCTACAAAGAGAATGAAATACCTAGGAATACAACTTAAAAGAGACATGAAGGACCTCTTCAAGGAGAACTACAAACCACTACTCAAGGAAGTAAGAGAGGATACAAACAAATGGAAAAAGAGTCCATGCTCATAGATAAGAAGAATTAATATTGTGAAAATGGCCATAGTGCCCAAAGTAATTTATAGATTCAATGCTATCCCTATCAAGCTACCATTTACTTTCTTCACAGAATTAGAAAAAACTACTTTAAGTTTCGTATGAAACCAAAAAAAGAGCCCACGTAGCCACAAAATCCTAAGCAAAAAAGAACAAAGCTGGAAGCATCACACTACCTGACTTCAAACTATACTACAAGGCTACAGTCACCAAAACAGCATGGTACTGGCACCAAAACAGATATATAGACCAATGGAACAGAACAAAGGCCTCAGAAATAATGCCACACATCCACAACCATCTGATCTTTCACAAACCTGACAAAAACAAGCCATGGGGAAAGGATTTCTATTCAATAAATGGTGTTGGGAAAACTGACTAGCCATATGCAGAAAACTGAAACTGGACCCCTTCCTTATACCTCATACAAAAATTAACTCTGATGGATTAAAGACTTAAATGTAAAACCATAAAAACTCTAAAAGAAAACCCAGTCAATGCCATTCAGGACATAGGCATATGCAAAGACGAAAACACCAAAAGCAATGACAACAAAAGCCAAAATTGACAAACGGGATCTAATTAAACTAAAGAGCTTCTGTACAGTAAAAGAAATTATCATCAGAGTGAACAGGCAACCTACAGAATGGGAGAAAATTCTTGCAATCTATCCATCTGACAAAGGGCTAATATCCAGAATCTACAAAGAACTTAAACAAATTTACAGTAAAAAAAAAAACCCCATCAAAAAGTGAGCGAAGGATATGAACAGACACTTCTCAAAAGAAAACATTTATGTGGCCAAAAAACACATGCAAAAAAGCTCATCATCGCTGACCGTTAGAGAAAAGCAAGTCAAGACCACACTGAGATACCACCTCATTTGAGTTAGAATGGTGATCATTAAAAAGTCCGGAAACAACAGATGCTGGAGAGGATGTGGAAAATAGCAACACTTTTACACTGTTGGGAGTATAAATTAGTTCAACCATTGTGAAAAATAGTTTGGTGATTCCTCAAGGATCTAGAACCAGAAAAACCATTTGACCCAGCAATCCCATTACTGGGTATACACCCAAAGGATTATAAATCATTCTTCTATAAAGACACATGTGCATGTGTGTTTACTTCAGCACTATTCACAATAGCAAAGACTTGGAACTAACCCAAATGCCTATCAATAATAGATTGGATAAAGAAAATGTGGCACATATACACTATGGAACAGTATGCAGCCATAAAAAAGGATGAGTTCATGTCTTCTGCAGGGACATGGATGATGCTGGAAATCATCATTCTCAGCAAACTAGCACAGGAACAGAGAACCAAACACCCCATGTTCTCATTCATAAGTGGGAGTTGAACAATTAGAACACACGGACACAGGGAGGGGAACATCACACACCAGGGCCTGTCGGAGGGTAGGGGGCTAGGGGAGGGATAGCATTAGAAGAAATACCTAATGTAGATGATGGGTTGATGGATGCAGCAAACCACCATGGCACATGTATACCTATGTGACAAACATGCACGTTCTGCACATGTACCCCAGAACTTGAAGTATTACAAAAAAAAAAAACAAAACTTACATGATCGCCCAAAATATGGATTATATAGACTCTTATGTATATTTACTACACAAGATAGTTTTTTTCCTAAATGAAAAGCATATAGACACATATATTAAACAATCCAATTTTGAAATCCCCGATATGTGTGGCCTTTGCCATCTCATTGTTTTCCGTGTCCCTGCTTTCATTTTACATAAGTTTTTTTAGAAAAAAGAATGAGTAAATGGATGGAAAAAGATAGGAGTACACAGGATGGAAGGTAAGGGATAACATAATTATGGGATATGTACTAGAATAAATTATAATTCAAAACAACTAATAATTATTTAAAGATACCCCCCAAATAGAGAATATTTGGTATAAAACTAGGTTGGTTTTACCAGTAAAGATGGGAGCTTGTTTGTAGTATAATATTTTAAAAAGTTATGTGAAACCAAAGAGTAGGAGAAGGTGCCTGAAACTTAAGCAAGAAGATACAAGAGGAACCTGCTGTAGGGTGAGGAAGGATGGCTTATGAAAGAATACATCAGGTGACAGTAACCCAAATTAGCAAAAAAAAAAAGCAATGGATTATTCGATTATGAATCACTGTTATCTTTGTATTTGAATATGATTCTGTTCTTATTTAATCTTCCTGTTCACATTTCTGACTGTGTTTCAGCTTTTCATCTGACTAATTACCTTCTTAGCACACTTAAATGCTCAAAAATAGTAGTGGCAGGAGTCCTTTTGAATAAAATGCCCCATATTTCAGCGTCACCAGAGCATCATTTTGTTCTTTAACCAAAGCTTCCAAAAACTCAAACTATAATTCATTTTTGATTAACCACAGTGGTCATATTTGCCTCTCAATTATACACAAGACCTATTGTCACTGTACTTGCAAGAAATGTTTCCAAGATGGACAGGCTCTCAAGCATCTAAAAGAGGTCAGTTTGCCAGCGTGGACTGAGTTTTTGCTAGTTTCCCTGGTATAATTCTTATGGTAACTTATAAAGCAATAATTTGGAATATCTGATCCCTTAGAAAAATTGTTAAAAACCATTAAATAAGAAATGCCTGTCAGCTGGGCACAGTGGCTAACACCTGTGGGAGTTAACACTCTGGGAGGCTGAGGCGGGAGGATCACTTGAGGTCAGAAGTTTGAGACCAGCTGGGCAACAGGATGAAACCCCATCTCTACTAAAAATATAAAAAGTAGCTGATGTGGTAGTGCCTGCTTGTAGTCCCAGCTACTCAGGAGGCTGAGGCAGGAGAATTGCTTGAAGCGGGGAAGTGAACACTGCAGTGAGCTGAGACCGTGCCATTGCACTCCATGCTGGGTGACAGAGTGAGACTCTGTTTTCAAAAAAAAAAATGCATATGTAATCGCAGCACTTTGGGAGACTGACATGGGAGGATTATTTAAATTGGGGAGTTTGAGGCTGCAGTGAGCCATGACTGTGTCACTGCACCCCAGCTTGGGCGATACAGTGAGACACTCTTTGGGGGGAAAAAAAAAGTCCTATGTGCTGACTGTATCCTTTTTTACACCATACAATGTACATGCCAAACAAAAGTGAGGAATTATCTGTGGATAGTATAGTGGACACTACACAATGGTAAACTGCTCTTAAGTCTTCCCTCTCTAGGCAGAGACCAATCTGCTGCATTTGTATTACTCTATGTTCCATATCTAACATATCTATCAATCCCAATCAACAAGATGCCTTTTCTTTTTGTCAGGCAAGTCAGATAATCTCTCAAGTAGGTATAGCCTTTCTTGATTACTAAAAAAGTAAAAACTCATACCCTACCCTAAGGCTACCTTCCTGAAGTCTCAGGGCCTCAATTGCTTAATTTTATATTATAGCTTTTGTATTTTTATCACAAGTTCCTTCAGGAATCAGAATTTAGTTTGTGATTTAGAAACTTCTGGCCACTGCCTGGGGTCATAGCTGTTTCTACCACTTTCTAGATGTTTGCTCTTGTGCAAGTTAATGATCTTTTTTCCACCTACATTATCTAAGAAAAGTGAAAAATAAGGAGTACTTTTCTTGGCTGGCCATGGTGGCTCATGCCTGGAAGTTACCCCAGCACTTTAAAGTCTGAAGTAGGAGGATCTCTTGAGTCCAGAGGTCAAGGATGCAGTAAGCCATTGACTGTACCACTGTAATCCAGCCTGGGCAAGAGAATGAGACTCTCTCTGAAGAATAAACGATATACAGCACTTGGGAAGAACAATGGTTGTCCCTGGCAGGGGTAAGTGGAGCAATGAGGTCAGAATTAACTGAGAAGGGGCAAGAGGAATGCCTTGTGATGATGGAAATGTTCTATGTTCATATGGGTTTAGATAATATAGATCTATGCATTAGTTAAAATTCAGTGAATATACACTTAAAATCTCAACATTTCATTATGTAAAGTTTACTTCAGAAAAACTACAGACAAATATTTATCAATTCAATGAAATACATGCTGAAATATTTAGGAGAAAGTATGCTGATGTGTGCAGTTTACTTTGAAATACATTTAGAAAAAAAGGCTGATAAGAGTGATGGATAGAGGGTGGAGTAATAGATACATGATGGAGTAAGTACAGTAGAATCATAGACTCTAGGTGGTGGGTAAACCAATGATCACTATAAATTCTTTCAACTTTGCTGTACATTTGAAAATTTTCACAATAAAGTGTTAAAAAAATAGTACCTGATACAGAGTAAGCACTAGTCAATGATGTCAAATTAACTATTTTCAGCTGAAGAGGGATGAACAGGGGGTTCAAATCACTGAATCTACTATGGATCTGTCAGGAAGAAAAGAAACTGCTACTTTTCCCATAAACTTTCATCCCAAATCATGATTTACCTAATTTAAAAAATTTCTTTGGCATCTTTATATAAAAATCAATTACTTTTACTACCATCCTAAAAAAAAAACACCCAATGAACAACACACGATTCAGGTAGTTCTAGCTAATAGAGGTGATACATATAGGGAAAGCAATTATCAGAAAAGGGTAGAAAAGAGAAAAAGCAAATATAATTTTACTGTATGACAAATCTTCCTCAAATAGTTTTCTATATATTGAATAATTCCAATGATGTGTTATTTTTTTTAAAAAAATCTAACTTCCTAAACATTATTTAAAAGGTGCTATTAACAAATTCTGTTTTAGTGCTGAAAATGTTTCAATTTGTTGTGTCTGATGAGGCAATATTGAAATCAGATGATTTTATATAGCTCATGAGCTACAGGTGGAGGAAACTGAACAAGACACTCGTATGTACATTGAGCTCCACAAGGTTAGTTGACTTAGAACCTGTGACTTACCTACCCGACAGTACTACGTGCTTTTGGCAAGAAAGCAGAGGTACAACCGGAAATGGAAAGGGAAAGGAAAATGGATGTGGGGTGGTAAGTGTACCTGGAAATTAACTTCAGGTTTCAGAATAATCGCCAGCAGCTCTTCCCAGCCTTTATAGCTAGGGAAGATTAAATATTGGCTTTAGGTAATGATCAAGAATATCTGAAACATTCCTTATGCCTTTTGAATATACTCACAGTTTCTTTTCAAATACTTCACTTACTTGATTGTCATTTTCATTATCTTTGATAACCAAATACCTCAATAAATTTAATGAAGCCATAATCCTGTTAATTAAAAATATATATTACTTTACAGTATGGTTTTATATAGTCAACAGCAATCTCAATAAGCTAAAACTTTGGGCATATTTTTATAATTAGGTGCCATTAGAAACTATTTCCATTAATATATCTTTTTATATAGTAATTTATCACTCTTATTTTCTATTTAAGTTCAAATCATACAATTGTGAAAATTATTATCCTTGTTTAAAGAAACCCTTGTTATTGTTAGTATTTGAGAGCATGATATCACCTCTTGCTTTCTGAATTTTAATATTTTTACATGATTATAACCATTTCTCAATATCCATTCCAATATACTGAAACTGAAATTATATGTTCTATATGAAAAAAATGACCTGGAAAACAATAAAACAACAAAACCTAAGCACATAAATTATGTACACAGATTTTTAGTTTTAAGCACAAATGCTGTCCTTACAAATTTCTATGGAATGCTGGGTACATAAAAACTATCAAATCATAGTGTTGGTCATTCATCTAGAAAGAGGAGCTTTTAATTTGTTTCTACGCATTAACAAATCACTTAAATAAGAAAAATCTTTATGTAATTTAATGAATTAGCCATGGATCAAAAAATCACAGGAAAATACATTTTATTACTTTAGGTTCCCTAAGCAGGTATTTCACATTTTATTCTGAATTTCCTATGTGGATTTTAGTAATGGTCACCTCACCTATCTGAGTTTTGCAGTAAATCTGTTTCCGCACCCTCTGGGAGAAAGAGTACCAAATCAAGAAGGGAAATCAACTGTGGTCCTGTAAACCATTTTTTGTTATGTGTTCTCTGAAAAGCAAACGAAAAATGAGAAAGGCTTTAAATAACAGCTTGATAATTCATGTGCTTTTCTAATACTATGACACTACAAAATTAAACAATTACACATTTAAAATACATTTCTTTTTTTTTTTTTTGAGATGGTGTTTTGCTCTTGTCGCCCAGGCTGGAGTGCAATGGCGTGATCTTGACTCACTGCAACCTCTGCCTCCTGGGTTCAAGTGATTCTCCTGCCTCAGTAGCTGGGATTACAGGCAAGGCACGCACCACCACGCCCAGCTAATTTTTGTATTCTTAATAGAGACGGGTTTTGCCGTGTAGGCCAGGCTGGTCTCAAACTCCTGACCTCGTGATCCACCTGCCTTGGCCTCCCAAAGTAGTGGGATTACAGGTGAAAGCCACCACGCCCAGCCACATTTTTAAACTCTAATTTCCATACTTTCATTCACTTTCTAGATACAGGAACAAACCCTGCCAGCTTGAGAACACTGGTGCACTGTTTTCCATTTAGAATTACTGAGCACTCACAAATAGAAGAGACTTAAGTTTTCATTCATGTTTCAACAGCATATAACAAAACAAAAAGAAACTATAATATCAGCTCAAAGAGGCCCAGTGTGGTGACTCACACCTATAATCCCAGCATATTAGGAGGCCAAGGTGGATGGGTCACTTGAGATCAGGAATTTGAGACAAGCCTGGGCAACATGGTGAAACCCCATGTCTACAAAAACAAAATTTAGCTGGACGCAGTGGTGGGTGCCTGTAGTCCCAGTTACTTGGGAGGCTGAGGTGGGAGGATTGCTTGAGCCCAGGAGGTGGGAGGCTGCAGTCAGCCAAGACTGTGACACTGCACTCCAACCTGGGTGACAGGAGGAAAACCTTGTCTCAAAAAGAAAAAAGAAAAAGATCAAAGAATATAATTTAGCCGGGCGCGGTGGCTCAAGCCTGTAATCCCAGCACTTTGGGAGGCCGAGGCGGGTGGATCACGAGGTCGAGAGATCGAGACCATCCCGGTCAACATGGTGAAACCCCGTCTCTACTAAAAATACGAAAAATTAGCTGGGCATGGTGGCACGTGCCTGTAATCCCAGCTACTCAGGAGGCTGAGGCAGGAGAATTGCCTGAACCCAGGAGGCGGAGGTTGCAGTGAGCCGAGATCGTGCCATTGCACTCCAGCCTGGGTAACAAGAGTGAAACTCCGTCTCAAAAAAAAAAAAAAAAAAGAATATAATTTAAACTTATAATTAACAAAATTTCCAAATTCAGAGTTTTTAAAACATAGTAGAAATAGGGAAAAAAAAGTCTTATTAGTATTTAAGTAATAGTAATACTAGAGATAGAGCAAAAACTCACATTAACATATTCTACATATGAATAAAATATACACTATGAAATAAAATAATAATTGACACTTTGGCTATGTTCTTACCTTTAATGCCAAGTCAATTTGATTTTTGATATTTTGAATAATAAAAGCCTCCACACCTGAGTGATGACTAGTATTCAATAAGCACCTTGAAAGTAAATTTACAATAGATGTGAAATTATCCTGGACAGCATTAGAATTAAATGGTGATAAAAGTCTTACAAATTCAAAGAGGCCATGTGTTACTTCTAGGAATAAAAACCCCAAAGTAGTGGTAATTAGCAAGGTGATCAACCAATTACAAAGTTACCTGTAATAGTTTCTACTCTCACTAACTGGTAAATTCTTATTTACAACTGGATCTTCCAACAAGCCATTTCTATCAAACCAATGAATATTTTTATACACATAGTTAAAATAATTAAACATGGCAAGAAAGGGCACTAACATAATAGTCTAAAAAAAAAAACCTCAAATTATTTCCTGTGTAGTAGTCTAGTGCTAGTGCTCAACTGCAAAAAAACTAAATATGACTAGCTTAAGAAAAAAAGGGGATTTATTGGTAGATACAGATAGAACAGAATAGGAAAGCTGGTATAATACCTAAGAATTGAGATTTCATAAACTTGCTCTTACTAGCAATAGAAAAGAAGAAAAGATAGGATCAAGAGTGTTGGCTGGGCACTGTGGCTCATGCGTGTCATCTCAACACTTTGGGAGGCTGAGGTGAGTAAACTGCTTGAGCCCAGGAGCGTGAGACCAGCCTGGGCAACATGACACAACCCTGTCTCCACAAAAAAATTAGCTGGGCATGATGGCATGCATCTGGGAAGCTGAGGTGGGAAGATCACCTGAACATGGGAGGTCAAGGGTCAAGGCTGCAGTGAGCCATGATCACACTGCTGCACCCCCCAAAAAAGAAAAGTGCTAATACTGGCCATTCTCAAATGAGACGTTTTAGCAAATCCAGCCTGCTGCCCAATATTATCAATAAAGTTTTATTGGCACACAACCATCCCCAATAGAAAGACAAAGTTGAGCAGCTGCAACAAAGACTGTATAGCCCATAAACCCTATATTTACTATTTGGCTCTTCATAGAGACTTAAAAAGTTTACCAATTTTTTTTTTTTTTTTTTTTTTTTTTTGAGACAGAGTTTCGCTCTTGTTACCCAGGCTGGAGTGCAATGGCACGATCTCCGCTCACCGCAACCTCCACTTCCTGGATTCAAGCAATTCTCCTGCCTCAGCCTCCTGAGTAGCTGGGATTACAGGCACGTGCCACCATGCCCAGCTAATTTTTTGTATTTTTAGTAGAGACGGGGTTTCACCATGTTGACCAGGATGGTCTCGATCTCTCGACCTCATGATCCACCCGCCTCAGCCTCCCAAAGTGCTGGGATTACAGACTTGAGCCACCGCGCCCGGCAAAAGTTTACCAATTTTTAACTTAGAGAATTGCTAGAATCTTTTCAACCTCAAAGAGCACTATTAGTAAGCTCTACTATTAACACAGTGCATAGCCTATCAAAGTTGTAATTCCAGAGCCATCAATTTCAACTATGAGTAATGGAGATTAGTGACATATGTAAAGTTCTACTAAACACATTATCATTATCAATCTTAGTTTAATTATTGTTGTCTATTTCAAATTTACAGTATTCCAATTAATTGATCTGAAATATATACTATTATTCATATAAAATATAAACATATATATGGTATATATCTGAAATATTTGATTAACCCTTTCTCTAGCTATCACTAAGAATGTATAATATGGCTTCCAGCCAGAGTTGAATTACATGTAAAATATAGCGACATACTACACCCTAGAATAATTATATAGCATGAATTTGATTTTTAATCTCCTACACACTAAGCAATTAACCATGCTTGATACATACCTAAATAATGTATATTTGCCTTGTGAATCCAACTTGTTAATATATAGCTGAAGCATAGCTAAACTCTTTTTCCTCTAAAATGGAACAAACAATATTATTATGTAAAATGAATAAAGACTGCCCAGACTTCATCAATATCCATTTTATGCATGTAAAAAATCCACACTTGTACCTCCTAAATATATAAACATTTTACAAATTACTGGTACAAGACAAGGAAGCCCTCTCTTACCACTCCTATTCAACACAGTATTGGAAGTTCTGGCCAGGGCAATCTGGCAAGAAAAAGAAATAAAATGTATTCAATTAGGAAAGGAGGAAGTCAAATTGTCTCTATTTGCAGACAACATGACTGTATATTTAGAAGACCCCATCGTCTCAGCCAAAAGTCTCCTTAAGCTGATAAACAACTTCAGCAAAGTCTCAGAATACAAAATCAATGTGCAAAAATCACAAGCATTCCTATACACCAATAACAAACAGAGAGCCAAATCATGAGTGAACTCCCATTCACAATTGCTACAAAGAGAATAAAATACCTAGGAATACAACTAACAAGGGATGTGAGGGACCTCTTCAAAGAGAACTACATACCACTGCTCAAGGAAATAAGAGACGACACAAACAGATGGAAAAACATTCCATGCTCACAGACAGGAAGAATCAGTATCATGAAAATGGCCATAGTACCCAAAGTAATTTACAAATTCAATGCAATCCCCGTCAAGCTACCATTGACTTTCTTCACAGAATTGGGGAAAAAACCACCTTAAACTTCATATGGAACCAAAAGAGAGCCCACATAGCCAAGACAATCCTAAGCAAAAAAAAAAAAAAAACAACAACAAAGCTGGAGGCATCATGCTACCTGACTTCAAACTATACTACAAGGCCAGTCATCAAAACAGCATGGTACTGGTACCAAAACAGAGATACAGACCAATGGAACAAAACAGAGGCCTCAGAAACAATGCCACATATCTACAACCATCTGATCTTTCACAAACCTGACAAAAACAAGCCATGGGAAAAGGATTCCCTATTTAATAAATGTTGTTGGGAAAACTGGCTAGCCATAAGCAGAAAGCTGAAACTGGATCCCTTCCTTACACTGCATACAAAAATTAACTCCAGATGGATTAAAGATTTAAACATAAGACCTAACACCATAAAAATCCTAGAAGAAAACCTGGGCAACACCATTCAGGACATAGGAATAGGCAACAACTTCATGACTAAAACGCCAAAAGCAATGGCAACGAAAGCCAAAATAGACAAATGGGATCTAATTAAACTAAAGAGCTTCTGCACAGCAAAAGAAACTATCATTAGAGTGAAATGGCAACCAACATAATGGGGAAAAAATTTTGCAGTCTACCCATCTGACAAAAGGCTAATATCCAGAATCTACAAAGAACTTAAACAAATTTACAAGAAAAAACAACCCACCCCATCAAAAAGTGGGCGAAGGATATGAAGAGAGACTTTCCAAAAGAAGACATTTATGCAGCCAACAAACACATGAAAAAAAGCTGATCATCACTGGTCATTAGAGAAATGCAAATCAAAACCACATTGAGATACCACTTCATGCCAGTTAGAATGGCGATCATTAAAAAATCAGGAGACAACAGATGCTGGAGAGGATGTGGAGAAATAGGAACCCTTTTACATTGTTGGTGGGAGCACATATACAACATGGAATAGTATGCAGCCATAAAAAAGGATGAGTTCTCATTCTCAGCAAACTGACACAGAAAACCAAGCACCACATCTTCTCACTCATAGGTGGGTGTTGAACAATGAGAACACATGGGCACAGAGAGGGGAACATCACACACTAGGGTCTGTTGTGGGGTGGGGAGCTAGGGAAAGGACAGTAGGGTGTGGGGAGGTTGGGGAGGGATAACATTGGGAGAAATGCCTGATGTAGGTGACAGGGGGATGCATGCAGCAAACCACCATGGCATGTGTGTACCTATGCAACAATCCTGCAAGATCTGCACATGTACCCCAGAACTTAAAGTAGAATTAAAAAAAAAAAAAAAAAGATGAGTTCATGTCCTTTGCAGGGACATGGATGAAGCTGGAAACCATCATTCTCAGCAGACTGACAGAGGAACAGAAAACCAAACACCACATGTTCTCACGCATAAGTTGGTGTTGAACAATGAAATTACATGGTCACAGGGAGGGGAACATCACACACTGGGGCCTGTCATGGGGTTGAGGGGCCTAGGGGAGAGATAGCAGAGGATGAGGGGACTGGGGATGGATAACATTAGGAGAAATACCTAATGTAGATGATGGGGTGATGGATGCAGCAAACCACCGAGGCACATGGATACCTATGTAACAAACCTGCATGTTCTGCACATGTACCCCAAAACTTAAAAGTATAATTAAAAAATAAAGAAAAAATATTTCACAAATAGAAATTTTTAAAAAGAAGACTAAATTATTTGTCAAAATTTCTCACTGTAACTCATTTTCCTTTAGCCACCAAACATTTACATACCAGTGTCTCAATCGGGCAAAGTGTCATTACTTTCACTAAGCCCTGGAAAATAAAAAAATATAAAATTCAGATGTAAACAGATTATACTGACTGCAAATAAACAACTATGACATATCAAAAGGATACTAAAAATTCAGAGAAGTGAGGGTAGGAGATTTAAAAGTGAAGTAAATTAATTTTTCCCTAAGCCTTCCATTCCAGAAAGCTAACTACAATTGATTTTTTAAATGATAGTGAATAGGAGCGTCACAAAGTGTACTTTTGAAAGCAAATAGTAATTTTCAATTACATCTATAGTGGCAAGAAAATGAAATTAAATGTGCAGAAACATAATTTATTAATTAAAAACAATATATTTTAAAAAACCATGTTTTTCTACTTAAATATTAGGAAAACCAGTTCTCACACTGAAATCTAAGGATTTCCTTGGATATCATAACTAACAAAAAGTACTAGGCAAAATAAATCATAGAAAGGGAAAACAAAATGTTTATTAGTCTTTCTGGTAATGAGTCAGTGAATGCCTTAGATGGAGTCCTGAGAACTTGAGTTATGAGAAACATAAACGAACTTCATTCCCTACAGAAATAAAGTATTAAAAGAAGAAAGTTATGCTTTTCCACTGGATGCTGTGCTATCAATAGTGGTGGCCTCTAATTGCTACTTATGTTTAAATAAATTAAAATTTAAATGTAAAACTTAGTTCCTTAGTCACATTAGCCATATTTTAAGGGTTCAGTTTGGCTAATAGTGGCTTTCATACTGTCAGAGTTCTATTGGAGAGCATTACACCAGAGTTTTCAAAGGTTGCAGAGAAGGGAGTGGGAAAGGAATCAGAAAAGACCTTATTTTAAGTTCAGAACAGGCAAAGCGCTATTTTCAATATTAGAATACATATTTTATTTACCTGAGGTACTGTAAGAAAACTCTTGATTTCTAAGTACTGGTAAAGTAGACTGTTGTCTTCTATTCTCAATAAACTATTCTCCAGCAGCTCCTACAGATTAAAATATATGCAGATACACATATAGTGATGTCAAAAGCTGTTATTTGTTGACATAACTATGTATTTAAGTTATAATGGGAACAAACATCTTACCAATCCTTTGGAGATAACAGACTCTTCTGTTCTGAAAAATATATTAAAATTTATCATGAATTTGTAAACTATTTTAGAATGATACTTCATCTTAAGAAAAATATAGCAAAAATTGAAATTTTAACATTTTAAAAATGCATTATCATTAAGGAGAAATTCTGTTGATGAACTTGATCAAAAGTTTTAATCCATCTTTGATCTGTCTTTCGGTTTAGCTAAGACCTCTAAATCTGACTAAAATAAACCCACTCAGGGATTATTTCCTGACTTTAGAACAACAGCTCTTCAACAGCAAGTGCTAACAAATTAACTACACCTGATATAACCAATGCTATGTATTCCAGTTGACTGTTCCGTAAAATCTTTCCAATTATTTTTATTCAAAAAATAATTATATGCCGTCTACTTGTGATTATACTTTTTTTAAAAAAAGGATTATAATCACTATTAATTAACATGTAATTACTATTAACTAAATACTTAAGATCTGTGGCAAAAAAATATCTTGGGCTCCAGGGAATTATTCTAACCAGGCAAAGAGTTTAAAACTATTGTCTTTGGCTCAATGACTATGCAGTTTGGAAATACCAAGAATATAGAACTTAAATTCAAAACAATACATATTATCACTGTATGAATAACAGAAATGAAATGTAACAAATATAAAATCATTAAAACATACATAATACAGCAAATTTACAGAGTTAATAACTACTTGTGCCAGGAGACCCTTGGAAATTCCTGCCTTGTATGCTGAGGCTTTGGACATTGCCATGTTACAAATATTCCTTCACCTGGGAAGAGATGGGATTTATAAGCTGTCACTAGTGTTCCTAGGGGGTAACTGCAAAGTCCTAACAGATCTCAGGGGATAATATAAACATGTTATAGTGTAAGAAAACAAAGCATAAAGAGTTTTGCAAAATTCTTTAATTTCTGTCTAGAAATTATACCTGTTACTCTGTAATTTCTGTTTTTGTTTTTTCGGTTTTTTTTTTTTTTTGAGACAGTTTTACTCTGCTGTCCAGGCTGGACTGCAGTGGTTCGATCTCTGCTCACTACAGCCTAAACCTCCTCCCAGGCCCAGGTGATTCTTTCAACTCAGCCTCCCAAGTAGCTGGGACAACGGGCATGTACCACCATGCCTGGCTGGTATTTTTTGTAGAGAGACTGGTCTCAAACTCCTGGGCTCAAGCAATCCTTTTGCCTTGGTCTCCCAAAGTGCTAGGATTACAGGTGTGAGCTACCGCCCCTGGCTTTTTTTTTTGTTTTTTATTTTTTAAAATAAAGTCCTGCTGCTTAGCACCTCAAATGAGAAAAGTTGGAATGGTATCACTGCCAATAATCTAAAATATAAAAGCTGGGAGTCAAGACACCTCCTTACTTTTGATGCAATTCACAGATTGTGTCCATGAAGGAAAAATATGGATGTACTTCTTTTATTGACTGCCCTTCTTTAAGTTGGAGGAGGATACAGTTGGGTACAAGTGTTTTAACTTACCAACTTTTGGAATAAGGGAAGAAACCTTAGACACAGATGACTGGAAAAGGCCTTAAGACAAAATTTTAATTCTGTCTTAGGTTTAAAATAAGAGACTTTGGTGTAAAACCTCTTTGACTCATTTCTCTCTCTCTTGTGAATTATTTGCCTCAATGTTTTATAAAATAACCAATTAATTAATTAGGGCCTAGCAAAGAGCAGGCAGTCTCCTCTGATCGTAACAAGACTATTTTAACACTACTATTTCATTTTGAGTAGTGTGATAGCACAAGACCATCTAAATGATCTTACCTTTGCAAAAATACTTCAATATGCCCCATATTAAGCTGCAAAAGGTACAATGGGCTAAAATAGAAACAAAACAAACATTTATGTTATATACACACACAGAGATATATGTACACGCACACATTCTGTTATGGGTTGAATTGTATCTCCTCCAAAAAAGATATGTTAGAATCCTAACCTCTAACACCTCAGAATATGACCTTATTTGGAGATAGGGGTTTTTATAGAGATAATCAATTTAAAAGTGAGATCATTAGGGTGGGCCCTAATCCAAGATGACCGGTGTCCTTATATAAGGAAATCTGGAGATAGACACAAGCACACAGTGAGAACAGCATATGAACGTGAAGGCAGAGAACAGGTAATGCATCTGTAAGCCGAAGACCATCAAAGATTGCAAGCAAATCAATAGAAGCCAGGGGAGAGGCATGGAAAAGATTCTCCTTCACAACCCTCAGAATAAGCCTTCAGAACTATGAGACAATCTATTTCTGTTATTTTAACCATCCAGTTAATAGCACATTTTACGGAAGCCTTAGCAAACTAATACATATATGCTGTTTAAGTTATTTTGGTGATAGAATGTGATGCTTAAGAGTATAGCCTTTTTTTTGCGGGTGGTGGCAGGCGGAGAGAACGTCATGAAGGCTTCGGGCACACTACAAGAGTACAAGGTGGTGGGTCGCTGCCTGCCCACCCCCAAATGCCACACACTGCCCCTCTACCACATGCGAATCTTTGCGCCTAATCACGTCGTCGCCAAGTCCCGCTTCTGGTATTTCGTGTCTCAGTTGAAGAAGATGAAGAAGTCTTCAGGGGAGATTGTCTACTGTGGGCAGGTGTTCGACAAGTCCCCTCTTCGGGTGAAGAACTTCGGTATCTGGCTGCGCTATGACTCCCGGAGCGGCACCCACAACATGTACCGACCGGGAATACCGGGACCTGACCACCGCGGGCACTGTCATCCAGTGCTACCGAGACATGGGCGCCCGGCACCGGGCCCGGGCCCACTCCATCCAGATCATGAAAGTGGAGGAGATCGCAGCCAGCAAGTGCCGCCGGCCGGCGGTCAAGCAGTTCCATGACTCCAAGATCAAGTTCCCGCTGTCCCACCGCGTCCTGCGCCATCAGCACAAGCCACGCTTCACCACCAAGAGGCCCAACACCTTCTTCTAGGCGTGGGACCCTCGTCTGGGTGTGCCCCAAATAAACTCAGGAACGCCCCGGTAAAAAAAAAAAAAAAAAAAAAATACAGGCTCTGAGGTCAGACAGCTGTCTGAATTCCATCTATGCCACAAAGTAGTTAGATCTACAGAGGTATATTAACTTGTCTAAGTTTGTTATTTTCATGTGTAAAACGAGAGAATGCTCTACTTCACAGGCTTATGATAAGGAAGAGATAATGCATATAAAGTTATTAGCATAATGTTTCATACATGGCAAACATGCAAATGGTAGCCATTATTGCAACATTTACATATAACTACACTCCTAGGTATATCAATATATATTTATAAAATACACACATTTACATAATACATAAATATGTATATGTATATTTATAATTTATAGATTTATAATATACTATAATCTACATATAATCTATATTTAATATAGATTATGAATCTATAAAGTATAAATATAAATACATGCATTTATATCTTTATATAAATATATATTTATATCTTTATGTAAATATATAAATCTATAATATATTCCAGGTATATTAATATATAAAACATTTACATACAAATATACTCCTAAGTATATTAATATGTATTAACATAGTTGTATATTAATATCTATTAGTTGTATATTAATATAGTTGTGTATTAATATACAGTCTCATACAAAGACACAAATACCCAATGCCTATAAGACAAAAATACAATTCTTCTTATCAGAACTCAAGTCAAGAAGGTACTACATTATAAAATTATATATTTAAAAAATAATTTTAATAAATATTATGCAAAAAGAAGACAAGGTCAAGGTAATTATAATGGAAGGATTCAACCTAAATTCGGTGGTGAGTGAAGGCTTTCTTCATAAAGTGCCATTTAAGGATAATTTTAAGCATATACAAAGGCCGAATAGCAGGAAAATTCATAACATATTTAAACAAGAAGCTAAAGAAGGTCTGTGTTACTGGAGCATAGCAAACAAGAGGAAAGGTGGTGGGAGATGAATCAGGTCAATCAAGCAGGGACGAGACCAGGCGTAAGTTTGTCTCAGAAATTATGTAAAGGAACTAAGACTATTCTGAGAGCGATAAAAAGCCACTGAGGGTTTTCAGTAAGGGACTTCTTTCAAGGCTTCACTTTCTGGTGTGTTCAGAAAGTGTTAAATTAAAACGGAGTAAAAGTAGACATATAAATATCCACTCAGGATTTTACAGCAGTAATCCAGTGAAAAGATGACGATACCTCTGGGTACCTGGCTAGTTCCAGGGTGGGCTCAAAGGCTTCAAAACCAAGCTCAGTTTATCATCTTCCAATTCTTGTCCCCACCATTCCCTTACACCTATGTCAACACCCCCCATTTTCATTACTTGTCTACTGCTATCTTTAACAGATTACAGCTGGGATCATTCTTAATAAAAATAGCCTTTATTTATTTAAAATATATTAGTTTGTTAATATGCATATACTGGGCATTAGATAACTGAGAATTGTATGAAATTACTTTCAGAATACATGAATAAACCAAACACTAACTCTTACCTTAAGACCATTGGAAGCTGATCAATACAGATGCCCTGTACAAATATTAGATATGCCAGAGAAGCCATTGAATCTGCTAACTGTTTATCTTCCTCTTCTTCAAATTCAAGGTAATTCCAAGTTCTCTTTTTTCTTCCATGATTAAAAATCATTTTGGGGAAAGGGTGTTCAATTGCTGATAAAAAACCCTATGAAACAGATATAAAAGGTAACTATAGCACACAGACTCTAAGATGTCCCTAAGCCCGTGTTCAGACCTCACATTCTCACGAAGGGGAGTGTAATCACTCCCTCTGAGTGTGACTGGGACCTATGAGACTTGCTTTTAACCAACAGAATATGCCAAGATATCACTCCCATGATTAGATTATATGACAAAAGTGAAGGGGTTTCTGCAGATGTAAATAAGGTCTGCAGGAACACTGGGCAGGGCAGCAGAGCCTGAGGGAACACTGCTGATCTTTCAGGTCATCTGGGTTTCTCATGTCATAAGAGAAAGAGAAGCATCCTTGCATGAGTGAGTGGGACCACAGGGCTAAACAAAGCTTTATGCTCAGAAAACAGGATCACCCCTATAGCTTTGACACTGGTACTAATCCTAGCATATCAGAAAGCATCTGGCCTTCAGAATGCACTGGAACTGATTTTGAGTTTTGGCTCTACCACTTACTAGCTGTGTGACACTGGATGAGCTACAAAATGGTATTAACACCTATGTCAAATATTTATTGAGCAGCTCCACAAAAAAAGCGTAAGAAAGTTAAGGTCACAACAAACTACCATATAGGAGTTAAAACGGAATGAATGACAAAAATAGCTAAAGCAGAATGAACACTGACCTTCCATATAACTCACTCTTTTATTCAATAAGCACTTAAGTGCAAGGCACTGGGCCTGACATTGTGGGGAATTATAAAGCGAAGTAAGTCTTTTCCAGCCTTCAGGGAGTTAAAATCTGCTGTTCCCAGATGGTTCCATTAGTCATTTCAGAATACAAAAAGGAACCATGGAAAATCATCCTCAGTCACAAGAAACTGCTATTCACATGAAATATATACTGCTGCAGTGATTTTCAAGGCCATGCATTCTTGTTCTTGTTATAGCTACAAGACAAAAAGTGTATTGCGCTCTGATTCCAAATGTTCTTAATCATGAAGCTCCATTTCTTTATTCAGCCAATGCTACATGTGTTTTTTCCAGAGAAAGGTAGCCTTTTTTTTTTTTTCTTTTTTTTTCTGTTGTTGTTGTTTTTGAGATAGGGTCTTGCTCTGTCACTCAGGCTGGAGTGCAGTGGCATGATCATGGCTCACTGCAGCCTTGACTTACCCAAGCTCAAGCAATCCACCCACTTCAATCTCCTGAGTAGCTGGGAATACAGGCCCATGCCACCAGGTATTTTTTTTATTATTTTTTATAGAGATAGGGTTTCACCATGTAGCCCAGGCTGGTCTCAAACTCCTGGGCTTAAGAGATCTGCTCACATGGACCTCCCAAAGGCCTGGACCTACAAGTGTAAGCTACCACATCCATCCTTAGATAGCCTTTTTGAAACATCATTACATGCAACCAGATTCTACAGTGCTGCTCTGGATATCTGAGGTCCAATCTGTTCCCAAATCTGGTCCTTCACTACCTAACCACATACCACCCAGCAGTCTTGTTCAGACCCAGGCTGTACTGCCACCATACCATTTCATAATTCATGGCAGCCTCTGTCCTTTCAGAAATGTTCCTACTCCACAACCTTTGGGACATTCTAGTAGTTCTGTACCAAAATAAAGATGGCTGAGGCCAGTGAATCCCAACCACATCATACTTACCAGTACTTCTCCAGCACAGAAGACATCTCCTCACTTCATCTCCTAGCTGATGTCACCTCTACTTCTAGACTGCTATGTGCATCCTTATGCTGGCTCTTTCCACTTGTAATGTCCCTTCTACCGAGATCTTAGGACCAGTTGCTTACATCCTCAGTCTCTTCATAGGATGCTTGTTCTACCTCACTACTTTAACTAAACCTGTCTGATTTTTGGTGGAAGATGCTCATTCTCACAGCTTTTACATCCTAGGGCCCAGAAGGCAGCTGTTGGGTAGGCCAGTTACAGGCAGGAGCTAAGCATAGTATTATAGTATTGGCTCTTTCTGTACTTTTTAACAAAAGCACATTTTCCTTTGATGCAGATAACATACTGTCCTTTTCTCTGTCATATGCTGACGTAGTAATTTCCTGACATTCACTGAAGACTCTGGCACCTGCTCACAATCTTTTTCTCTACCCAACTCTTGCTGTGATCCTGGAAAAGTTGGATGTTCATGCAGATAACCCCTATAACAGGATAGTCTCATGGTCCTTTATTATTTATTTTTCAATCAAGCAGCAAGTCACTGCATCCACTCTCATGATTCTCAATTTCTAAATTCTAGTGACCTTTAGTTCTAATCCATTTCAGTACCTGATCCCATGCCGGATCTCTGAACATCTGGAACTATTCTGTATTTGATACTTTAAACTCCAATATCCCGTTTTCTGACCAAAATCTCTCATCCTCTCTCACCTAGCAATCTGCTTTTCTACTTCTGACTTCTCCAGGCCTGTGATTCCTTCATTTTGAACTACATAAGCATTCCCTCCTAAACCCCATTCTTTCCCTATCCAACCTGAATCATGGAGTATTGACTAGTTGAACTATCTGCACCCTGTATTTCCTTCAGCAGCATTTACCCAGTTTAAAATGCCAGTCTTGAAAAAATAACTACAATCCACCTTCTCTACTTCTACACACAGGGAGCTGAGTACTGCTGGAGAAAAAAATACAGACTGTTACCACTACAGTTGTGGTCTCCAACCACAGCTGAGTGCCCAGGACTACTGACTAATGTTGCCATGGTCTTCCACCACCTCTTTCCATTCCCCTCAGTACTTCAAACCTTTACCAGTTTCCTCAAGCCCTTTTACTCAACGCCCATTTCTACCTCCTCATTAAGAGATCATCTCTCCTTCACCTAGAAATCTGAGGCCAATGGGTTTGATACCCCTCAATTGTAATATCTCATTCCTGCTACAAATTTCTAAACATGTATTCTTACCTTGATACCCATTATTTCTTCCTTTCTAGGACCCTCCTTATGTCTTTGATCCTATGTCTAGCCATCTGCTCATAAGCCACATTGTTCCCTCAATAGTTTGTACCCTAACAGCTATAAACACGCTCAAGCTCTCCCATCTCCATTACCTTCCTACCCTTACCTCATGTCTTCTAGCTATTACCTCTCCTTCCTTACTCATCTAAATTCTTTTAAAGAATAGCTTACACTAGTCCTCTCCTTTTTCTCATCGGTCATCCATTCTTTTATCTACTCCACTCTGATTTATCTCCAACACTATACTTAAAGTAAGATTACTAATGCCATGTTACTTCCTAAATCCAGTGGATGCTTTTCAATGTACCTCTATGTTGTGTTTAAGAGTCCTGATTACCTCTATCCTTCTGAAACCCTACTACACCAGTTTCTGTGTATTTCTACCACTTCTGACTTCTTTCTTGGGCTCCTTTTAAGTGCCAGTACTCTCTAGAGTTCACTCCTGAGCCCTTTTCTCTTCTCACCTCGTTAGGTAATCTCACCCACTCTTATTCAAAAATATCTCCTGGTCAGGTACAGTGGTTCACACCTGTAATTCCAGCACCTTGAGAAGCCAAGGTGGGAGGATCACTTGAGACAAAGAGTTCAAGACCAGCCTGTACAACATATTGAGACTTCACCTCTATAAGAGTAAAAAATTTAGCCGGGCGCGGTGGCTCACGCCTGTAATCCCAGCACTTTGGGAGGCCAAGGTGGGTGGATCACGAGGTCAGGAGATCGAGACCATCCTGGTCAACATGGTGAAACCCTGTCTCTACTAAAAATACAAAAAATTAGCTGGGCATGGTGGTGCATGCCCGTAATCCCAGCTACTCAGGAGGCTGAGGCAGGAGAATTGCCTGAACCCAGGAGGCGGAGGTTGCTGTGAGCCGAAATCGCGCCATTGCACTCCAGCTTGGGTAACAATGGCGAAACTCCGTCTCAAAAAAAAAAAAAAAAAAAAAAGTAAAAAATTTAATTAGCCAGAAATGCTGGGGCATGCCTGCAAGTCCAGCTACTCAGGAGGCTGTGGTGGAAGGATCACTTGAGCCTAAGAGGCTGAGGCTACAACAAGCCGTGATTGTGCCACTGCACTCCAGCCTGGGCTGCAAAATGAGACCCTGTCTTAAAAAAAAAAAAAAAAAATATATATATATATATATATATATATATATATATATATATAAAATTATATGTTAAATATACATGTATTTTACATATTAAAATATATTTTAAATTCCTTAAAAATCTGCTCTCTCTCCAGTTATTAGATATATATTAAAACATTATTATTAATCTTTTTAGGTGTTAGGCCAGGAATGGTGGCTCCTGCCTGTAATCCCAGCACTTCGGGAGGCTAAGTCAGCCAGACTGCTTGAGCCCAGGAGTCTGAGACCAGCCTGGGTAACGTGAAACCCCGTCTCAACCAAAAATACAAAAATTGGCCAGGTGGGGAGATGTGTGCCTGCAGCCCCAGCTGCTTGGGAGGCTGAGGCAGGAGAACTGCTTGAGCCCGGGAGGCAGAGGTTTCAGTGAGCCAAGATCACATTACGACACTCCAGTTTGGGCAACGGGAGTGAAACCCCATCTCAAAAAAATTTTTTAAAAAGGTAATAAAATCTTGTTAGATGTCATAACAGCATTGTGGTTATTTGTTTCTTTAAAAAGCTCTTATTATTTGGGAAGCATCCTAAAAGATTTACAGATGAATTAAGTGTAGGACTTGCTATAACATCCTACAACAAGAAAAGGAGGAGGATAGATAGAACAAAATTGGCAAAATGTTGATAATTACTGAAGCTCAGTGATGGGCACATGGACACGTAGTGTATAGTTTTTAGTACTTTTCGGAACGTTTTAAAATTTCTATGTTTCTTTAAAAGCACAAGACCCCCAAATCCTTGCTCTATATTCTCTATCAGACCCCCAAATCCTTGCTCTATATTCTCTATCTCAAGTATTGGCACCTTCATCTGCCCAGTTATCTAAGCAAAAACCCTCATCCATGTTTTATTCTAAATCCAAGCAATGACCAAATTTTGCCAAGTTTACCTACTATAAAGTTTTC